CTGTTCACCTCGGCCTCCCAAAGTGGTGGGATTACAGGCGTGAGCCACCGTACCTGGCCTACCTTTTTTTTTAAAGAGGGTCTCACTCCAACACTCAGGCTGGAGTGCAGTGGCATGATCACGGCTTACTGCAGTCTCGATTTTCCGGACAAGTGATCCATCCACCTCAGCCTCCCAAGTAGCTGAGACCGCAGGCGCATGTGACCACACCCAGCTAATTTTTGTATTTTCTGTAGATATGAGGTTTTGCCATGTTGCCCAGCCTGGTCTTGTACTTCTGGGCTCAAGCAATCCTCCTGCCTTGGCCTTCCAAAGTGCTGGGATTACAGGTGTACCGTGCCTGGCCCAGTGTAATAAATATTGAAACTTATAGTAGAGGTCGGGAAATATGAACATTCATATTCAATGATCGAAGGGATTCAAAACTGGAACAATGGTGGAGCCACAATTTGGCAATAAGCAGTGAAGCTGAATGTGTATACAGCCTATAACGAACAATTTCATTTCTAGGTAATACCTTAGATTTTTTACTCTTTAAGGAAATCAGAAAATACACAAAATGATATTCAATATAGCATCTTTATTACCACAGAAACTCATTTATGTCCTTAATCATTGTTTAATATTATATATAAGCATGTTTAATACAAACATCAAGGATCAGGCTGGAATCTTTTCAATTCTATAGAAAAGCACTAACCATCCATTAAAGCAGGTAGCTACTTTCAGAGCATGATGTGAGCGGCAAAAAGTTGCCCTTACTATCCCCCAACACCACCACTCACCATAATGTCTAAAATTACACCATTGAAGACATTTATTATGGTTATGGCAGCATCTACCAAAGCAGTTCCTATTCCAGATATTGGGACTGAGAATTCCACAATAAATTTGAGATACACTCAGTTAAATAAAAATGTCTTTACTAAATCTTTGACAAACTGATCATATATACTTTGAATTCCTCAAAAGTATATTTTTTTTCTTTTTTTTTTTTTTTTTTTTTGCAGAGGTTCTCTCTTGTTGCCCAGGCTGGAGTCCAATGGCACAATCTCGGGTCACTGCAACCTCCGTTTCCTGGGTTCAAGCAATTCTCCTGCCTCAGCGTCCCAAGTAGCTGGGATTACAGGCACCCGCCACCATGCCCGGGTAATTATGTACTTTTAGTAGAGACGGGGTTTCACTATGTTGGTCAGGCTGGTCTCGAACTGCTGACCTCAGGTGATCTGCTTGCCTTGGCCTCCCAAAGTGTTGGGATTACAGGCGTGAGCCACCATGCCCGGCCAAAAGTAGATGTTTTATGTTTTGCTTCATTTGCCTATTTTCCCAAGAAATCTTTTTTTCAAATACCATCAAGAATTAGTGTTCTGGCCGGGCGCGGTGGCTCAAGCCTGTAATCCCAGCACTTTGGGAGGCCGAGACGGGCGGATCACGAGGTCAGGAGATCGAGACCATCCTGGCTAACGCGGTGAAACCCCGCCTGTACTAAAAAATACAAAAAACTAGCCGGGCGAGGTGGCGGGCGCCTGTAGTCCCAGCTACACAGGAGGCTGAGGCAGGAGAATGGCGTAAACCCGGGTGGTGGAGCTTGCAGTGAGCTGAGATCGTGCCACTGCACTCCAGCCCGGGCAACAGAGTGAGACTCCGTCTCAAAAAAAAAAAAAAAAAAAAAAAAGAATTAGTGTTCCATGAAGCAAACTTCTGGAGAATGTTGAATTTAGGGGTCAAACACAGGCCTTCTGGAGGTATTTGGTGCTTGGGAAAAGAAACACTGACCTATTAGCAAAGATAGATTTTGTAATAAATTCTAAATAAACTTTATTTAGAATTGTGAAAAACAGAATCTTCATAATGAAGGTGGTCTAGATTTTGCTTTCAGAAGCTATCTTCATCTAATTTTTATTAAGATTATTTTAGCTGTGCAGAATTAATTGGTACAATTTTTAGGATATTCCTTAAAGTTTTTATAAGTATCAGATGTTTTACTTAAACAGGGAGTTAACACACACACACACACACACACACATTTTTTGTTAATCTATTTGGGTTTTACAGTGAGTTAATTATAATAACATATTCCTTGGGGGAAAAAATGTAATCCTTCTACATTTTTACTTGTATTGGAATGAATATGCATGTTTGTGCCTGTGTGCATGTATAGTTTTACCATATTATGTTTATTCACTTTTGAGACTGGGTCTCACTTTGTCACCCAGGCTGGAGTGCAGTGGCACAATCTTGGCTCACTGCAACCTGTGCCTCCTGGGTTCAAGCGATTCTCCTGCCTCAGCCTCCCCAGTAGCTTAGATTACAGGTGCCCACCACCATGACAGGCTAATTTTTGTACTTTTAGTAGAGATAGGGTTTTGCTATGTTCGCCAGGCTGGTCTCGAACTCCTGACTTCAAGTGATCCAACCACCTCGGCCTCCCAAAGTGCTGGGATCACAGGCGTAAGACACTGTGCCCAGCCTAGTTTTGCCTTATAATTTAAAAAATCTCCTTGATATAATCTAGAATTGTGTCTTTTATCATCAATACTCTAAATGTATTATCTTTCATTTTCTCTTCCTTGATTATAATGCCAAAATCTAATCACTATTAACATTGAATCAAGTCTAATATTCTTTATTCTCTTAATTTCTACTTTCTACTGTACTTGACTGTTCCTTTTCTTTTTTTTTTTTTTCTTTTTTTTAAGACAGACTCCTGCTCTGTTACCCAGGCTGGAGTGCAGTGGCATGATCTCAGCTCACCTCCGCCTCCCGGGTTCAAGTGATTCTCCTGCCTCAGCCTCCCAAGTAGCTGGAATTACAGGCATGTGCCACCATGCCTGGCTAATTTTGTATTTTTAGTAGAGACGGGGTTTCTCAATGTTGGTCAAGCTGGTCTCAAACTCCCGACCTCAGGTGATCCGCCCACTGTGGCCTCCCAAAGTGCTGGGATTACAGGCATGAGCCACCGTGCCTGACCACTTGGCTGTTCTTTACTTGGGTTGGTTTTATTTTGTTGTTTCCTTTTTCTTGATGGAAATACTTATTCATTCCCTCAACACATTCATCTGTGTGACAGGCCTGGTGTTGCTGCTGTGGGTAAGTGAAGAATACGAAGACTGTATCCACAAATAAGATTGCCTTACCACATTACAGGGTATTAATTTATCACTGAATAGAACTTTGATGATATCTGATAAGGTTAGATGTGCAGGCATCTCACTGTCATTCATTTCTACATATTCTATAATTTTGGTTTTCATTTTAAACATTTTATTATTGAAATTTCAAACACATACAAAAGTAGAAATATTAGAGCAATAAATCTCCACGAACAAACCACTCCACTTAAATTATCAACATGTTGCCAATTTAGTTCCCAGCTCTCTTTGCCAATTATTTTTCTTTTGCTGGAATATTTTAATCCAAATGTGTCAATCTTCATTTCATAGTATGTATCTCTAACACATAGGATCTTTTATTTTTTATAATCACATTGACATCATCCCTAACCAAATTAATATATGTAAATGTCATTTAATATTAATCCATGTCCACACTTCCCCCACTGTCTCCAAAATGGTTTTTTATGTTTTGTTCAAACCGGCTCCAAGTAATGCCAACATACTGAATTTAGTTGACATGTCTCTTTAAGTCTCTTTTAATCTGTTAACGGTTGCCCTTCCGCTTGTATTTTCATGCCACCTGTTAGTTGAAGAAATCAGGTAATTTGCTCTGCAGAATTTCACACATTCTGGATATGTTTGGCTTCTTCCTGTGGTGCCCTTTAAAGCCAGCCCTCCATATTTGCAGATTCAACCAACCTCAAATAGAAAATACTCAAAAAAAGAAAAAAAAACCAATAAAAATAAAAATACAATAAAAATAATACAAATTGCAAAATACGGTATAACAACTATTTACATAGTATTTACATTGTGTTAGGTATAAGTCATCCAAAGATTATTTAAAGTATACAGGAGGATGTGAGTAGGTAATATGCAAATACATACAATGCCATTTTATACAAGGGACTTGAGCATCCTCAGATTTTACCATCACTGGAGGATCCCGGAACCAATTCCCCATGGATACCAAGGGATGACTATACACTGTTCATCTAGTCCCCTTGTTTTTTATTCCAGCAATAAGGCTTTGTAGATGGTGGTATTGACTTCTTATTGCACTATGTCAGGAAGTGTGTGTGTTGTCTGATAGACCTATTTTTATTAAGGTTAAAATAGATCAAAGGGTTTAGAGGTGGCCAGCTTGATAAATCCACCATAAAAATCTCGCTATAAAATGTTTCACCTATTAGTTGTAGTACCCATTGAAGATCGTGTCTTCTGGACCCATTATTCTATTAAGGTCTAGAAAATGGTGATTTTTCTAATCCTATAATTCCTTCTGGATTTATTAGACTTCTTTAAAAAAGAAAAACCCATTCAATTTTTTTTTTTTTTTTTTTTTTTTTTTGAGACAGGATCTCACTCTGTCACCTAGGCTGGAGTGCAGTGGCACGATCTCAGCTCACTGCAAACTCTGCCTCTTGGGTTCAAGTGATCCTCTCACCTCAGCCTCCCAAGTAGCTGGGACTACAGGCGCGTGCCACCATGCCTGGCTAATTTTTGTATCTTTAGTACACACAGGGTTTCACCATGTTGACCAGGTTGGTCTCAAACTCCTGGCCTCAAGTGATCCACCCACCTTGTCCTCCCAAAGTGCTGGAATTACAGGCATGAGCCCCTGCCTGTGCCAGGCCAAATCCACTTGAATCTGATGAACTTCTGGTGACCCTGAAATTTGGTTCACATGGGAAAAAGAAATGAAATGTCAATTTTTCCTCCGATTTATTGATTTCAAGAATAATGAGTTGGGCTGGGTGTGGTGGCTCATGCCTGCAACCCCAGCACCTTTGGAGGCCAAGGAGGTAGGATCACTTGAGCCCAGAAGTTCAAGACGTGCCTGGGCAACATAGTGAGACCCTTTCTCTAAAAACAAACAAACGAACAAAAAAAAATTAATTAGCCAGCCACAGTGGTGCACACCTGTAGTCCCAGCTACTCAGGAGGTTGAGGTGGGCCCAGGAGGAACAGGGTACAGTGAACTATGCTTGTGCCACTGCACTCCAGCCTGGGGGACAAAGTGACACTCTGTCTCAAAAAATATATATATAAATTGGTGCTCTAGCATCTTCCATAGGTGACCAAATTATGCAGCCACAATCAAGTAAACTATCAAATTACTGGTGGGATCACATCAAAAACTCAACTTGAAACAACTCCTACTGGTTGAAGATACTTACAGAATGATGTTTTCTTTCTTTTCCACAGCAGTTTTATACACACACATAAATATACACAATAATATGAAATTCCTAGGTGGTTCATTTCTTTTAAGCCACATTTTTGATAGTTTCTAATTAATTTTGAACTGTGGTCAGACAACAGGGATTGTAAGCCTTTTGCTTTTTGGAATTATGGGAAAATCACTTCCTGTTTCCCTCTAATTCTTCAACAGCTGTACTACTAATGACCTCACATTCATGAAATTCACAGGGTTTCTTTTTGGCATGAAATTTCTAATGCAGCTCAAGTGCTGAAGAACTTCCTACATTCACTACAATCTAGATTTTACCTAGAATAAATTATGTTTAATAATTTCTGAGAGGTGACAGGAGGCATTTCTACATTTATTACAGATCTTCCTTGTATGTGAATTCACTAATACTAATGACAATAACAATTATAGATAATATTTACAGAATACATGCTATATGACTGTGATTCCTCCAAGTATTAACTACTTACTCCTTGCAACAATCCTATTCCACAGTGTGGCAGGCTGACTCTAAAAAGGCCCCCCAGTGGTCCTGTCGTGAGGACTTGTTCACACTCTTGTATCATCCTCTTCTCTTGAGTGTGGGCTATCCTAGTAACTTATTTCTACCAGTAGAAGGTGAGGGAATGTTACTTCCATGATTAGATAACACATGATTGTAACTTCCATCTTGCTAGCAGACTCTCCCTGCTTTTGGCTTGCATGCCTTGATGAAGCAAGCAGCTATGCTGATGAGACTATTGTGGCCAGGAACTGCAGTCAGCGTTCAGCCAACAGCCAGCTAGAAACTGAGAATCTCAATGCAACAGGCCTCACGGAAATACATTTGGGTAACAACTGTGTTAGTATGGATGTGGATCCTTCCCCAGTTGAGCCTTCAGATGAGACCTCAGCCCTGGCTGAAATCTGTAGCCTTGCAAGAGACCCTGAAGCAGAGGACCCAATTAAGTCATGCCTATACTTCTGATCCAAATTGTAAGATATAAATGTATGTTATTTTAAGCTACTACGTTTGTGGTAATTTATTACACAGCAATAAATAACTAATACATATAAGTACTATTATTACCATTTTACAAGTCAGCAAAATGAGGCACAGAAGCTTAGTATCTTGTCCAATAAATCACACTGGTAATAAAGTGGAGAAAGGGAGATAATGACAGATAAGGCTAAAGATTTTCCTACATTCATTACGTTATTCTCATAGGAATTTGCTGAAGATAAACCATGTTTAAATGGTGTTGGAAGGCTTTTAAATCAACATATTCTTTCTCTAATATAAAATTTATTATGTTTGGAATTAAGCATGGAACACATTTTCTCAAAAATGAATTTTCTGATGTTCTGTAACATCATATACATTTGAAGGCTTTCTTCTATTAAATTCCATTATGAATCTTCTGATGTTGAGTAAGGTGTGAATGCTGTCTAAAGGCCTTCTTACACTCCTTACACTTGTAGGGTTTCTCACCAGTATGAATTCTCTGGTGTTGAGTAAGAAATGAATAAAGTCTAAAAGCCTTACCACATTCCTTACATTCATAAGGTTTCTCACCAGTGTGAATACTCTGATGTTGGGTAAGTTGTGAGAGCAGTCTAAAAGGTTTTCTACATTCCTTACATTCATAAGGTTTCTCACCAGTGTGAATACTTTGATGCTGAGTAAGTTGTGAAAGCAGTCTAAAGGCCTTTCCACACTCTTCACATTCATAGGGTCTCTCACCAATATGAATGCTCTGGTGTGAAATTAGCTGTGAGTAACTACTAAAGGTCTTCCAACATTCCATACATTCATAGGGTTTCTCACGAGTATGTATTCTCTGATGGCGAACTAGTTGTTGTCTTAATCTAAAAGTCTTCCCACATTCCTTACATTCGTAGGGTTTCTCACCAGTATGAATACTCTGATGAACAGTAAGTTGTTGGCATATTCTAAAAGCCTTCCCACATTCCTTACATTCATAGGGTTTCTCACCAAAATGAATTTTCTGATGTACTCTAAGGTCTGGACCACATACGAAGGCTTTCCCACATTCCTTACATTCATAGAGCTTTTCAGCAGTATGAAGTCTCTGATGGCGTGTAAGGTGTGTACACTGTCTAAAGGTCTTTCCACAGTCCTTACATTCGTAGGGTTTCTCACCAGTGTGAATTCTCTGATGTCGAGCCAGTTGCTGATGTACTCTAAAGGCCTTTCCACATTCCTTACATTCATAGGGCTTTTCACCCGTATGAAGTCTCTGATGTTGAGTAAGTTCTTGGAGCACTGTAAAGGCCTTCCCACACTCCTTACATTCATAGGGTTTCTCACCAGTGTGAAGTTTGTGATGTCGAATAAGATGTGCACGCTGTCTAAAGGCCTGCCCACATTCTTTACACTTATAAGGTTTCTCACCAGTATGAATTCTCAGGTGTTGACTAAGTGTTGAGCGACGAATAAAGGTCTTCCTACACTCCTTACACTCATACACCTTTTCTCCATTATGAACGATCTGATACTCCGTAAGAAAATTGTGCCTTTTGTAAGTGGTCATTTTTTCAGAGGTAATTTTCACTTGCCCAAAATATTCCTCTTGTTGTTGCTTTTCCCCCTCAATCTTGCTTTTGCATTCCCAATCATTCCTAAAAACAGAACCCTGAAGGCTATAGCTTTTAATTCTTTCCATTATATCCCATTGAAATGAATATATTTCATAAATGTCCTTTTCTGGAGATAAAGTATTGGTCCTATATCTGGATTCCAAATCTGAAAGAAAACAAGAAAGCAAATACATACTGTTTTCCTGTTCCAGAAAGGAAAAAACAAAGAACAAACAAACAAAAAAACTTCTGTAAAGAAATAAAAGGCACTAAAATAATGCCTGTTACAAGCTGAATGGATGAGACAGATCTCAAACATACACATTTCTGCCACAATCTTACATATGTGTACCTAAAAAACTTTATCTTCTACAAAAGTATACACTAAAAAATTACTGCGTTCAGAGGAAAAATAGGCCCGGAGCAGGAACACTTAATTCTATGCATCTTTTTTTTTTTTTTGAGATGGAGTCTTGCTCTGTCACCTAGGCTGGAGTGCAGTGGCACAATCTGCGCACTACAACCTCTGACTCCCAGCTTCAAGCAATTATCCTGCCTCAGCCTTCCTAGTAGCTGGGATTACAGGCACACACCACCAAGCCAGGCTAATTTTTCTGTGTGTATTTTTAGTAGAGACGGGGTTTCACCGTGTTGGCTAGGCTGGTCTCGAACTACTGATCTCAGGTGATTCGCCCGCCTCAGCCTTCCAAAGTACTGGGATTACAGGTGTGAGCCACCATGCCCAGCCAATTCTATGCATCTTTAATCAGTAGAACATTAATAAATAAACTAGTTGACATCTAAAGGGATAAACTAAAAGGCAGCTCAGCATGGCTAAAATCCACTTCATGTGTATTAAAATGCACAAAAATAAAGAAGCAATGCTAGACTTCAGGTCCTGAGACACTGCACATGAAAATAAAGCCCAGAGCCAGTGAGGACGTCATTAAGGTGGGAGTAAGGTAAACTGAAGCCTGTCTTTAGATAAGAGGCCATGCAAGGTTGATGGTACATTCCTCTGGGGAGGGAGCCCTGGGTGCAGACATTTATTATTAATTTTCTTAAAACAGAGGTGAAAGGGCTCCTGATAATAAAGCATCATATGGAAGGCCTTTGTCTTTCCTACTGAACATTATAAATATACCTCTACTAAGCCAGCTCCACTGGACTAGGACAATTACTCATGAGTCAATCATCTTCTACATTATACACAATTCTTTTGTCACTATTCTGCTAATGTGTACCATGGGACAGATTGCAGTCTCATCATTTTGAAAAAGGGCAAGGGAAACATAGCAAATAGAGTCCAGGAGTGCAGGCAGGGCTGGTGATTAGGAAAGCAAGTCAAATCAGTGAAGGCCTGATTTAAGTGTGGAGAAGAATCACCTAGAGATTTGTTTAAACTATGCAGATGTGTTTTTAACTGACTGAAACCATCTTAGGACAAAGTCCTGGGCAAGTAATTGTTTTGTTCTTGTTTACATTCTCCAAGAAATTATTGGGATGCTGATCAATATTTGAGTCTTTCTATTTAAATGTTTTCAATGCTATCTCTTTGCCATTAGAATAAAATATAAATACCTGAGCATAAATAATAAAGCTGCTGCTTGTCAACAAATCTCTTCTCCCATTTATTCTCTCTGTCCATAGCATACTGGGCCTCTTTCAACGCACAAAATGCCCCACAACTGTTCCAAATAAATAGGACTCTTCACAGGCTGCTCCTTCTTTGAGGAATCCTCTGACACTGCATGGTTGGCTGGTTTTCATTCTCAGCCTCAAATCAAAATCACTTCTTCACAAAGGCTAGTCCTGCTGGCCCTATTTAAGTCTATGCACTTTACGCTTGTCTTAGTCCATTTTCTGTTGCTTATAACGAAGTATCTGAAAATGGGTAATTTATAAAGAAAAGGAATGTATTATTATTATTTCTACTCTACTCTGACAGATTAAGGAGTTTATTTCTTAACAATTATGGGGGCTGAGAACTCCAAAGTTGAGGGACTGCATCTGGTGAGGGCCTTCTTGCTGGTGAGGACCCGGAAGAGTCCCAACGCGGTGCATAGACCATCAGTGGGTAATGGGGGCTGAGTGTGCTAGCTCAGGTGTCTCTTTTGCTTCTTACGAAGCCATGTGTCCCACTGCCATAATAACTCATTAATCCATTAAGCCATGAAAGCCATTGTAACCCATTCACCCCATATAGGTCCCACCCATGGGGATTAAGTTTCAACATGAGTTTTGGAGGAGACAAACATTCAAACCATAGCAACACTCTTAGCAAACTCTCTTTGCTTTCCTTTTCTTTTCTTTTTTTGAGATGAAGTTTCTCTCTTGTTGCCCAGGCTGGAGTGTGAAGGCACAATCTCAGCTCACTGCAACCTCTGCCTCCCAGGTTCAAGTAATTCTCCTGCCTCAACCTCCCCAGTAGCTGGGATTACAGGCGCCCACCACCAGGCTCGGCTAATTTTTCTGTATTTTTAGTAGAGACAGGGTTTCACCATGTTGGCCAGACTGGTCTCGAACTCCTGACCTCAGATGATCTGCCCACCTCGGCCTCCCAAAGTGCTGGGATTACAGTGTGAGACACTGTACCCGGCCATGCACATTCTTTTTCATATTTATAACTCTTTCTCCAATTTGTGAATATGTTTATTAATTTTCTCATATTATTCTGTTAGCTTAGCTTAAGTGTTATCCTTGAGTTACCCCTGGGGCAAAAACAATCTCTATTATCACCATTAATTAACAAATCCCAAATACATATTACCAATTTAATTCTCATAATTATATTGTCATTAATATGTTTATCTGCCTCTAATCTTAATACCAGAGGTCCCCAACCCCCGGGCCACAGACCAGTCCATGGTCTGTTGGGAACCGGGCTGCACAGCAGAAGGTGAGCAGCCAGTGAGCGAGCATGACCGCCTGAGCTCCACCTCCTGTCAGATCAGCAGTGACTTTAGATTCTCATAGGAGCGTGAACCTTACTGTGAACTGTGTATGCGAGGGATCTAGGTTGCACACTCCGTATGAGAATCTAATGCCTGATAATCTGAGGTGGAACAGTTTCATCCCAAAACCACCTACCATCTTCTCCCGCCTCAGTCCATGGAAACATTGTCTTCCATAAAACCGGTCCCTGGTGTCAAAAAGGTAGGGACTGCTGCTTTATACCATATTATAATGATTTACTTATCTCCGCTAGAATTTATACTATTACTTATCAATTCTACACTTACTCAAACTTCTGTTGACTAGGTGCAGTGGCTCACACCTATAATCCCAACACTTTGGGAGGCCGAGGGGGGGCAGATCACCTGAGGTCGGGAGTTTGAGACCAGCCTGACCAACTTGGAGAAACCCCGTCTCTACTAAAAATAGAAAATTAGCCGAGCGTGGTGGCAAATGCCTGTAATCTCAGCTACTCGGGAGGCTGAGGCAGGAGAATCGCTTGAACCCGGGAGGCGGAGGTTGGGGTGAGCCAAGATCATGCCATTGCACTCCAGTATGGGCAATAAGAGTGAAACTCCATCTCAAACAAAACAAAACAAAACAAAACTTTTGTTCCTTCACATCCTTCCCTTGTGTGGTGCTATCCATTCCCATGTAGCCAACGCAAGTTAAGGTTTTTTTTTTTTCAATCATGCTAACATTGAAAGGCTTATGAAATCCTGAGCAAAAAGTCATGGTAAATATCAAGTACAGCAGAATGACTATCAAAAATGGAAGGGCGTCTGGGGTCACCTGAATGCATGAGAGTAAAAATAAAGGCTATGTTGGATGTGGGCTCGAAGATCATGATCCAGATGGGGTACTTTCATGAAGAAAATCTAAAATGCTGAATGAAGTAAGCAAAGACATGGGTTGAGACAGTATAGGAGAGGAGGAGAATTTTTTTTCGGTGACTACAGTGTAAATGTGTAAAACTGGTGAAATGACCCAAAGAACAGTTTGTGATCACTGTGAAACAAAATAGGAAAAAACAGAATGATGAAACCAAAAGACATCTTCACTTCAGATTTTAAAACTCTTTCCTAAATATAGAACAGTAATACTGAAAAATACTACATTATAGAGAACCTATGAAAATAGCTACAGATCTTAGAAGAACATTCATAGATACATTTAAATTCTTAGAGCAATAGAAATGAAGGAAAATATGAGTATCCCACTCAAAAGTTAGACAAAGAACAACAAAGTATACTGAGGAACAAAGAATGAAGAAATAGATTAAAATGAAAGCAGAATTTCATTGATTAGATAACAGAAATGAAAGTCACATATAAAAAAATCCAGGTTGGCCAGGCATGATGACTTATGCCTGTAAACCCAGCACTTTGGGAGGCTGACGCCGGAGGATTGCTTGAGCCCAGGAGTTCAAGACCAGTCTGGGCAACATGGTAAAACCCTATCTCTACAAAAAATTAGTCAGGCATGGTGGTGCTTGCTTATAGTCCCAGCTACTCGGAAGGCTCAGAGAAAGAGGATCATCTGAGCCCAGCAGGCAGACATTGCAATGAGCCATGATTATGCCACTGCACTCCAGCCTGGGTGACAGAGCGACAACCTGTCTCAAAACAAATAAACAAAAAACCCAGGTTGTTTGGAAAACAAAAACAAAAACAATCAGTGGAACACAACCATTAGCTAAGATAACAAGAGAAAAAGGAAAGCATTCAAACAAAATAAAAAATGGCCACTAGCTATTCAGTGACAACTCACCATAGAGCTCTTTTTTTTTTTTTTTTTTTTAAGACAGAGTCTCACTCTGTCACTAGGCTGGAGTGCAGTGGCACAGTCTCGGCTCACTGCGACCTCTGCCTCCCAGGTTCAAGCGATCCTCCTGCCTCAGCCTCCCGAGTAGGTGGGACTACAGGCGCAGGCTACCATGCCCAGCTAATTTTTTGTATTTTTAGTAGAAACGGGGTTTCACCATGTTGGCCAGGATGGTCTTGATCTCTTGACCTCATGATCCACCTGCCTCAGCCTCCCAAAGTGCTGGGATTACAGGCGTGAGCCACTGCGCTCAGTCACTCTCACATTTTGTGTACATCTTGTTGGCAGAAGCACTACCTACCTTTGTTCTGGGATATCTTTTCAAGAATGTTTCTATACTATAACAAACGGCCTTGCAAGGTGGAGATAATGTCTCTCTCTGGATCA